CCCCAAAACCCCAAAACCCCAAAACCCCAATAATAGACCGAGACATTGAATTTTGAAAAGGGCAGTCTTGGCTTTTCTAAGGTAAAAGATCTGTTAATAATATACTTTGAAATAGATAAATTTATGTGCGCCTTGTGCATTTTTTACATATCCAAAGTATCTTTTGTCAAGGAGCGATCAAATTCAGCAAAAGTAACCTTGCCGTCTTTGTCGCAGTCTCATATTTCTAATATCTCTTCAAGGAGTTGAGGAGTGACAAACTCCAGGCATTTCTTCTTTATCAAACCTTGTAGATCTTTCGTACTTAGAACTCCATCATGATTAACATCAAGTAGCTTGTAGGCCTTCATGATTCTCTTTTTGTTCAGCAAAGTTCTTTTTCCTATATCCGTATAAATTCTTAGTTGAGATAAAGAATCGTTAAAACAGATCCATGGAAAATTCTTTGAAATAAAACAAAATCTTACCAAGAGTAGCTGTAATGAATTCATTGTAATTGATAGCTCCGTTCTTGTCGGTATCCACACCCTTCAAAATCTGGTTGATCTCTTCTGAAGAGAGGAGGTCTTTCATATTGGACCTAAGCTCCTTTCTGGTAATATATCCGTCCTGATTCTTATCAAGACTGCGGAAGATTTTAATCTGCTTTTGGATTTCTTCATCTCCTGCACGAGTAGCCATGAAGGTAAAGATGCATTTCTTGAAGGAATTTAGGTTCTGAAATCGTTTCAATTTATTCATATATTTCTTTTCGATACTTTTATTTTCCCTCGGAGACTTCTTCAATTGATTGAACCAAGGATGCCTCAAAGCTTCCTTTGGTGATATTCGGTTATCTTCGGCAGTCAGGAGATTACATATGAGGTCTTTGGCTTCATCAGAAACGTGCTTCCATATATCATCTTTAAATCCATCTTCTTTTAAAACTTCGCCCTTTTCTGCAATCTTTTCCAAAATCTGAACTTCTGTTTCCCCATCAAAAGGGGGCTCTCCTGCCAGCATCAGGTACAGAATAACACCTATAGCCCACATGTCACAGGCATTGCTATAGTCTCCACTTATGATCTCAGGTGCCATATAATACGCTGTGCCAACAGTTGCCATCATGCGGATGTATTTGCCTTCGCCCTCCTCATTGATTTTATAATATGATGTAGCTAGACCAAAATCTATGAGCTTTAAATTACTGCCTTCTTCATTTGAATAAAACATAAAGTTATCAGGTTTGATATCCCTGTGACAGATCCCGTTCTTATGACAGTACAGAACTGCTTGCAAGATCTGGCGGATTATACCACAAGTTTTATGCTCATCAAGAGTTTCTATTGACCCAAAATCTGATCAAAAAGTTCACCTCCAGAGCAATATTCCATGACTAAATGGATACTTTCACTGTCTTCATAGACTTCAAATAATTTCACAATGTTAGGATGATCTAATGTCTTTAATGTGCTGAGCTCATTCAGAAGCCTAGTCTTGCTCCTGATCCTGGACTTTTTGATGGATTTTATATCGCCCTGATTTCACCTGTGTCCTTATCAGCACCTCTCCGGACGACCCCAAAAGAACCTTCTCCTAGTATCTTATCTTCTATATCATAGAAATTATGTATGTCTTCTTCTTTATGGATAATGAATAGCTCTTTCTTCAAAGAAAATTGTTGGAGGACTGAATTTATATCAAAATTCCTCTGTTTTTCCTCCCAAATGATCTTTCTTTGAGATTGAGAGAGCACCATTGTGTCTTCTTCATCATCAAACTCTAGCTCGTCCACATAAATAAGGTCTTCCATAGTTGCTATATGCTTTATTTTCTATATTTTTACACCACTTTGGGGTTTTGGGGTTTTGGGGTTTTGGGG